ATAGCCTACATCGTCCACGGAACTTTTTTTCTGAAACATTTTAGCTGGCTGTTCGTTTGACATTTTTCAAATGTTACCTATTTAAGAATGTGTAGAATGTGTTCCCATAATGTTTGAAAAATTATCAAATGGAATGTTCCCTTAACTTTCGCATAAAAAAAAAAGAAAGTTTTTAAAAGAAGAAAATGAGAGAATTTTTTTAATAGCTTTTTGGGAATGTTTTTTTTTTAAACATTATTTTGTTAGACGTTCTTTTTAAGTTACTTTATTTCAAAATAAGCACTATAAAAACTCTTTTATTCCGAGTTCATGTGAAGGCTTTGGCTCATCTCTTCTCAGATCTTTTCAACAGTCAAAGCTTATCTCAAAAAGTAGTTAGCCTATAAGTTAAGAATAGAGAAGTAGGCCTATAAATTTGTCAAGCTGCAACCAATAAAAAATATGGATGAAGAACGGTAACAGAACAGGACGATAGATTAAACTTAAAAAACAATTTAAAGATACACACACTGAAATTACAGTTTTATTTGTCGGGGGCTATTTAATGTGTTTTCAATGTCGTGAGGTAAACGCTTGCACAAACGATAGATGGCGCTGTTGTGCCATTGAATTAATGCGCTTCTTCACTGGAGACTTGGAGCTTTGATGTATTCTTTACTCAGACCCTCCTAATGCCATCGATTCTCCAAAAGTCAGATATAGAGACACTGTTTTAGAAATTTCAAAACTGAGATTTCAGACTGTCGCGATCATCTGAGGATCTTAAGGCTGTGTAACTGCAGTGTATCGCCGCAGACAGGCTATAGTCAGCCTCCAGCATCACAAACATGGATCAACACGACTCGACGTTTGGAGTGCAGCTCTTCATTTATGATCTGTCGAGGGGAATGGCCCGACAGCTCAGCCCGATCATGTTAGGTGAGTGATGCAGTATATCTTTACCGTTATATTGGTGAGGGCCGCGAAATTTCCAATCCTACCATGAAGAAGGTTTAGCTAATTTATATTAGCCCACTGTTGCCTGGTAATCTTCCAATGACGAATCTTGGCTACTGAATATTAATGACCTGATTCTAACGTTGATTGGCAACCTTCCAACGATGACGACTTAGTTCATGATTATTAATAATGTAATACTGACGTTGCGTCATTACTATCCAATAGCGAATAGCTTGCTTATGAATATTTAAAAAATCCCGTCACTGTACTAGGATTTGTAAATTCGCGTCCGATTACAGCTGATCGACGAAAACACTTTTATCAACAAAATCTTTTATTCACATAACCCTGACATCTATATTCATCGAGACCAGTTTATCTGATACTCTCAGTTATCTAGAATTATTTATAAAGAACAAGCTGTTTAAGAACATGATGTTCTTTATTGTGATTAATCGTGTCACGTGCTGAAGGTAGCAATGGTTATCAAGGTTCATTAAATGTAACATAATGTAGCTATTTGAATGGTTCAAACCATAACAGTCCTAATATGTTAATAAAAATAATAAAGATAATTTATAACTTATGAGGAACATATGTAATATCTCTAATTCTATAATTGTATGATTTCTAAAAACATAATCTTTCTTACAGGAAAACAGCTTGATGGGATTTGGTAAGTGAATTACTACTATTTAATATCTACTTATTATAGATTATGGGTAAAACCTTTTATGCATAAGTTAAATATATAAATCTCTAGTTATATAACTATATGCTTTTCTTGTATGATCATGTCAACACAGGCACACATCTATAGTGGTCTACGGAGAGGAATTCTTCTATGGTGGTGCCGGGATCTCTAGTTGCCCACCGGTAAAATCTCAACCCATTACGACACTCAAGATAGGACAAGCACTTCAAAACATAGCCCCAAAATATACTCAGTGTACTTCATGTCGTGCTGTTTGTGAGCCCTCAGTTTACATGTTTATTGCCATTCATGTGAAGCTTTGAACATCTTAGCACATTGGCCCTGCAACATAATTGTCCTTAAGAGGTACATTTATTCTAGGGCGGCTACAAGGACAGTATGTAGCAAGCACACTGTGTATGAGTGTTTACAGGGCGGGACGATGCTCGGACCTCCAGACACAGTGGTGGAGCTGGGAAACACTGAGGTGACAGAGGAGATCTTTATGGATTATCTGTCCTCACTTGGAGAAACAACATATAGGTGAGTATCTTTTTACGTTTGTTTATAGTATTCCTTTCTTCAGGTATAAGGTCTTTCTAAAGTTTTTGTACTGTACAAACATGTGCTTTATATGCATTGCTTACATTTTGTAGGCCTCTGAAATCTCTTGTCCCTATCTCTCTCTGCAGTGGTGACAAGTACAGATTGTTTGAACACAACTGTAACACGTTCACTAATGAGGTGGCCCAGTTTCTCACTGGCAATAAAATTCCCTCCTATATCACAGATCTGCCCTCTGAAGTGCTCTCCACGTGAGTATGCTAAACATAAACCTGCTCACATACATGCTTACGTAAGATTTCCAGTGTTATTTTTACTTCCACTTGATAGGTAAGTATTTAGTGACTAATAGCTAATAGCTATAAATAAATAGCTTAAATAAATAGCTGTGAATAAAACATATTCATGAATAAAACAAGGTTATTGGAGTACGTTTTACAAGAATATTCAATGTGTTAAATGAATCTTTATTGTCAAAAGCTACTGCTTGGCAAAAGTATAAACACAAAACAAAATTGATGCATTATGGTAATATAACTTTGAGGAGAAAGTGCTTAAATGTACAGAAAATAATGTGGGAAATCTTAAAGAGATACCCTCATGTCGTTCCAAACCTGTGTGACTTGTATTTTGTGAAACAATACATATTTTATATAATGATTTTATCCATACAATTAAAGGAATAGTTCACCCAAAAATGACATTTTGCTGAAAATGTACTCACCCTCAGGGCGTCCAAGATGTAGATGAGTTTGTTTCTTCATTGGAACAGATTTGGAGAAATGTATCATTACATCACTTGCCCAACAATGGATCCTCTGCAGTGAATGGGTGCCGTCAGAATGAGAGTCCAAACAGCTGATAAATGCAACACAAAAATCCACAAGTAATCCACACCACTCCTGTCCATCAATTAATGTCTTGTAAAGTGAAAAGCTGTGTGTTTGTAAGAAACAAACTCAGCATTAAGGCATTTTAACTATCACTTCTGGTCAAAATACTAGTCCATAATCCATAATAACGGCAGTGAAAAAGTCCATCACCTGTTGCTCTCTCACATCAAAATCCACCAACATATTTGTTTTGGCTTGTAAACAGTTCTTGATATGTGCATATTTCTCTCCTGATTCAGACAAAATTACTTTTTTAATAGAGAAAGCAAAATTATGGATAGAGGACTATTTTAGCCGGAAGCAATGGTTTGATGTTAAAAACGTCTTGATGAATTGGCTTCTTACAAACATGCAATGTTTCGCTTCACAAGACATTAACTGATGGACTGGAGTGGTGTGGATTACTTGTGGATTATTGTGATGTTTTTATCAGCTGTTTGGACTCTCATTTTGATGGCACTCATTCACTGCAGAGGATCCACTGGTGATGTAAATTACTCCAAATCTGTTCCGATGAAGAAACATCCGAACTCATCTACATCCTGGATGGCCAGAAAGTACATACATTTTCAGGAAATTTTTATTTTTTTTGTTGAACTGTTCCTTCAAAGTCAAAAGGGTCCAAAACAACATTGGATTCCACTGACTTTCATTGTATAGACAACAGGCACTAAGACAGGGCTATCCAAACTTGGTCCTGGAGGGCCGGTGTCCTGCAGAGTTTAGCTCCAACCCTAATTAAACACACCTGAACCAGCTAATCAAGCTCTTTACTAGGCATAGAAACTTCCAGTCAGGTGTGTTGAGGCAAGTTGGAGCTTAATTCTGCAG